TTCCATCAAGGCATATCTAAGCTTTCACTCAGCTGCTGTATTCCTTTATGGATACTATTCCGTTAAAGTACCTAATTATGAAGAACAAGTGTTTAGAAGAGCTAACATAGAGCTTAAACTTCTGTGAAAGTGCATATAATCATAATGAACTGTCATGTCAGAAAAAAATCACAAAAGAACCTATACTTCCAAGAGAACCAAATCACAATGAATTGGCATGTTAAGAAAGTTAAAGACAATCTACAGTGAAGTTTTAAAGACTTAATTCATTTACTTTAGTTAAGCAGTAGCTTCAGCAGAGCCACACCTGATTTCAATTAGGGAAGGCAAAAATCAAACCATGTTCAAGCAATTTCTTCTGCACTTTTGAGATACTAAGACTTCACCTGATGTATCACGTGCTTTTAAATCCCATTTCAATGGAAACCTCTCTCAAAATGGAAAATCTCACTTTAAAACAAAGACTTTCCATACACATTGGACATATGCAGCAAAAGACAGTGATGTGTATGGCTGGTTTTGAGGTAAAAGCTTCCTATCACCTCCATTGCATTTGAGAATGATTGTCTTGCAGCACTTACAACAAAAAATAATTTTAAACCTGATTTTTATAAGGAAGCATACCTTGAAAACTACTTGTTACACACCAAGGACTTTCACGTCCACTTCAACATCACTAAATAATTTAACTTCTCTTCTGCAATCCAAGAAGTACCTGAATGAAGAGCATTAACCAAACATCTTTCAGTATCCAGTTAAGAACTGAACAAGACTGAAAACCCAGTCAAAGGGAAGGAATATCCACTCTCTCCATCTTAAAAGATACTAGAATAAAGGATGTGGGCAAGAGTCTGAATATAACTCCTTTCTCTCACTCATTCTTAAAAAAAAATAAAAAAACAATCCATTTTAATTTTGCAGCTTTATTTGAAAGTGACTTAAGAGTTTTGGTAACAGTTTTTTATACAAAATTAATACAATGAAAAATAAACTTCAGATATTTCCTAGAGCAGATTACTGGCTGTAAACTCATAATCAAATGTACTATATAGAAAAAGGTAACTTTGTTCAAAGTCTTGTTCGCAGACCAGCACCAAGTGATCCTGAAAAATCTAGTTTTAGTCTATCTGCCAAAAAACCCCAAAGCTCACCCAAATCCTCACTTCCTAATTAAGCAGTGTCTCATTGCAGTTGTTCTACCTCACTGTATTTCCAACTTACAGTAACAGTTGTGACTAACTGACACAAGAAACACATCCAGATTTCCAACAACATCTTCAGTGAGTAAAGATCAACTTTTACATACCTGGTATTTTTAAGGTTTTTAAGGAGTCATGGACAACAAGGTATTTGGAAAAAACTATGAATTACCATTTCCAAAGTATGCAGAAGTCCATTAAAAAAAAAATAAATCCAAAGCCCTGTAACAGTTCCTTTCAAACTCTTTCATTTGAGCAGGTCAATTTCACAAATGTTGGGATCACTAATTAATTTTATTTCTATATCTGCAGTACATCAAAATCCCATCATATAAATTATTAATAAGCATTATTAATAAGATCCAGAGCAAGGGGGAAAATAAATCTATACAGTCCTGCAATTGTTTTACCATTCTTACCCCATGCTCAGCACAAAGTAAGGCTCCTCCCAAAACTCATCTTTTTTTATTTTTACCTTTGAAATAGTTTCTCAAAAAGAAGATCTATCTTGAGAACAAACTTTCTCACACACAAAAAACGTCCCATTTTTGGGGGTAACTGTACAACTTGGCTTCATGCCGCCCTTGCAGGTACAGGAAAGATACTGTTCCTCAAATATTAAGGCTGTAGAGAGCTACCAGACAGGACCAAAATACTACTACTCCAACTGTGAAAATAACCAGTATTGCAATTCCTACACTTGCTGTTCTCTGTATCCCACAAAGCAAAATGGTTCTGAATCATGCAATGTCGTGCAATCAAATTATACTTTGTAGAAAACTGCAAGGGTCTGTTTTCAGCTCTCTGCTAGGCTTGCTTCTCACTTTATGATTCCTGGGCTCACCAATCTTGTTTTACTGTGGCAGTTCATGTAGGTGTGCTAGGAACAGCATCAGTGCAAAAGCATGCTCATTCAGTAACTCCAGAAAGTCTGCAACTTTAAGTCTTCCCTAGAAATTGGAAAAGTTCCCTAGAAATTCCACTTCCTTTTCAGGCTCTCTGCTTTTCTTTCATCTCTGAAACATACATCAATCCTCCTTTATTGCCGCTCTCCACCCTGTGATACCAATGTAAACAAAACCCAGTGATAGGATAATCAAGTTTTGCCAGTGAAAAAAGCACCACACCATTAAGCCTTTGTTCCTTTTAGTAGAGTTACAGCAGGATTTAGAGACAAAAGCCTCACACATACTATTGCTCAAAACCTTGCTCCCAGATCCTCTGTATTAATGTACTCTGCAATGCTTTGGATCCTGGTGTTAAAACAAAAGAGATATTGAACATACTATGTCATCACAGGAATGAGGATAGTAGTTTCTGTGAACTTCTAACTACATAAATTTGTGTGCAACAGACCTACTTTGTGCCCGGTGACATTTACAATGCAAATTTAGTTCTCCTGTGAGGCTGATGAGTCATTCATTATTCACTGACATTGGACAGTTTTGCCATAGCCACCTCTTCCAGCATCATAGTCTTGCCGATATTCATCTCGGACCTTACGAAGGAGGAAAAAAAAGGAAAGTCCAGTAAAGACAAGGCAAAACAGTTTCTCAAAAACTATTACACCATCAGAATACAGTCAAAGTGAGTTCACATCATCTAAGTGGCCACAAGGAGCTGACTGGCAAAATAGAAGACAAAGTGCATCATGGAGAAGCCCAGAATACAGCATAAACTAACTTCCCTTTTAATAATGTCCAGGGACGCTCTCTAATCAAGGCAGGCACAGTGAGGATGGCTAGCCTCATGCTTCAGCAGTAAAAGCATCTGCTACCTGCTCAACTTTAGGTAAGCTAAGTGCTGTCCTTTGTGTTCTTGACCACCTTATATTCCCTGGGCTTATTTATAAGCATTATCTCCCCAAGCATCTTTTAGAAGTACTTTCAGTGAAATATATGAAAAAGTTATTCATTCTTAATGAATCACTGACGTCTTACAGACTAATGTATAGAGCTATCTTAAACAATAATTCCTAAGCTGCTATTTCTGAAGTTGTTCCGAGTGTGTTCATTCAAAAAGCAATGATTTGGCAAAGCCACCAGTCCCTTAAAAACTAGGCAGTACAACAACCTACCTGGCCCCCTGATCTTCCACGACCATACTGTCTACCCTCCTTAAATCCTGCATCCCAGTCTGTCCTTATGATTCTATCATCAAGTCTAGTTCCATTGATGTATCGCATTGCGTTTTCAGCATCTCCTCTTGCATAATACCTTAGGTATAAGTTAACGAAAAAAATGGGCTTTATTTTCAACACATGGGAAAAAGAACAACATGAAATAGGCTACAAAACCACGTTTGGTTGAATCAGGTTCCTGCTCAGTTACTTTTAAAAGCAACTGCTTTTATGAAGCTACATGGGCTGAGAAAACTGCTAGTGAAACACAGCAATGTACAGGAATTCAAGCATATTAAAAATGCATATATTGAATCAGGTCCTTTAACCACACTCACCCTTAAAAGCATAAGGCTCTATTACTAAAGAAAGAACGAGAAGCCCCATACACGCTCTGTTCATGCTGCAAACCTTCACCATTTTGGTGATTTCGCTGGAACCAGTAACAGAATGATCTTCAAAGAGACTTGCAGGTAATAAAGTCAACACATGACAGGGATGCAAAATACCAACAGAAACTTTATGTGTATGTTTGTATGAAAAGAAATGAAAAGTGCCTCTTCACCCAGGCACTGAGAGTATACTTTTACTGCAGAAGCCAACTATCTAGAAAGTATCTGGCTTAAAATATCACAGTGAAAGCAATCTACTAACTCCCACTCGACGTGCAGTTATGCTTGCCCTCTCTCGCCCAGGACTCCCACAGACGCTGTAGCAACCCAATAACTGTATCCCCGGCTAATCTTCCCGTGACTCAGAGCCTACATTTCAGCTCACCCCCGCCC